ATTCTGTACCATCTGAAAGTAGTTCTTGTTGGTGCCTTCATTTTAAAAAGCACTCTTAAGATTAAAGGGAAATGTTTTCTGATAAAATAACAGACTTCATTTAGTACAGGTTCTTAATATAAAACAATTACAAATTGAGTATTGTTTGTAACGGAGTAACATCAGATCAGCTAGAGAGAAATGTATCGTGTTTTGAATTAGGTTTTGTGAGTAGACAGATTAAAATTCTATTTTAAATATAAAGTTTATTAAAATAAATACTTTTGTATTCAAATACTTGGTGTAATGTTTACACATAAAATGTGAATCTTGTTCTATGAACATTAAGTTGTCTAAAGGATTGCCATCCACTAGATTTCTAAAGCAGTTTCACAAAGCAATGCATATTGCCATTTTCCTTTCAGTATGGATAGACAAACGAGAAAAGCACTGTGGACATTATTGGCTGTCCCTAATAAAATGCCATTCTTTATACACTGTATATCAGCGTTTGAATAATGCTACATATTTCTGGCTTTGCCTTGTATGTTTAACATTGCTGGTGGTGTTTTAAAAGTCATTACAGATTCTAACCAGCTAAAGTGGTCCAACCAAGTTTAAGTGGCTATGCAAAAGGCACTGAGAAAAAATCTGTCATTAGTTTCTCTCAAATGTGAATTAGCTCTGTTTCGTTATACGCTTAGTATCAGGTGGTTGTCTTAAAGGGTTAAACATGGTGGATAAAATTTAACAGCAAGCAGTGAGTTTCTTACTTGAATGTTCACCTGAAATGATGAAAACCCAGAAAAATAGTAGGGGACAAAGAGTAAAGTTGACTTGTTCTAACTATTTCTTTTGGTTTTGATAGGTATCTCACAGGTAAGTCAAACTAATGATGGCTAACGGAAGATGAGCTTTGCGTCCATTGTCGGCTATAAATTTGTTTACATTTGGCTGTGGATTTACTAGGAAAAAATAATTCTTAATGTCTTAAAAATGTCTAGCTCTACAAAGAAGTTAACTTTTGAAGGTAAATCAAGTTGGTATAATACAACCCTAAAATACCCAGCATTTAACACCAGCACAAATAGGGGAAGACATCTGTATTACGTATTAACAGGGCGAAATGACCTAGTTTATTGAAACATGCAATAGGTAATGTTGAGTATTTTGTGTGTGTGTATGTTGTGTGTGTTGAGGTGCTAATTTTCTTCTAGAAATAGAGATTTAAGGATGGTTTTGTTCTAAAAGGAAATATTTTAGAGAACTGTTAAATTTTCACCTCACTGTTTCTGTAGGTCAGCAATTTGGAAACAGCTTAGCTGTGCGATTTCTAGCTGAAGCTTAGGGTTGTATGTAAGTCAGGGAAAACATGACTTGGGCTGGAATATTTGAATCCAAAATGGCCTACTGACAGGATTGAAGGTTGGTACTGGCTATTTCCTTTACCCATAGTGAAGCAACAAAAGAATCCTCCAAAATACAACCAGTGTTTTTGTAAGTTATCTTGTGATCACAGTGTGGGAGGGGAGGGTTTTACTCACATGACGACCAAAAAGCAAGATACTGGGAGCCATCTTGGGGGATGGCTCCCATACCTGGAGTGTTTTCCTCTTTGGTAAAAGCTTTTGAAACTGGATCTTCTGTGTGGTTTTCAATATTGCGATCAAGTGCATGAGTACGTTAGTTGGTCTGAAGTGATTCTTAATATTTAAAAGTACTGAGGCAATTAAGGGAGGCTTTAAAAGAATCGTGTCTTGGTTCCTTAGTAATGACAATTACTAGTTCAAACGTGTGGATATGTGGTGCCTTTGCAGAAGGTAGAAAACATCACTAAGTATACCCAAAGTGCGTGTGTACATTGTGGCTTAGTTATATTTTAAATCAGCCTAAAGTTTGGAACAAATATTCTCAGGTGGTATACCCAGTGATTTTTTTTTTTTTTTT